CACACTCAAGGGGCCAAAGTGGAAGAGCCACACTCAAGGGGCCAAAGAGCCGCATGTGGCTTGCGAGCTGCAGTTTGCCGACCACTGGCTCTAGTCCTATGGTCACTTGAGGTGGGTGCCTGGTCATAAATATATACTCACAAGCACACACATTCACACATACACACCATGCATAGCTTACAGTAGTCTCTCTATTTCACATTTCCCAAAGTCTAAGCCTATGGTTCCTTGATTTTTCTCTTTACAGAACTTTTCATAAAAGAAAGACCTCTTTGTCACAAAAATATAGGAATTACATAATCTCAGAGTAAATGGCCTTCATTTCAAGTAAATAAATTGAGCCCTAAGAAAAAGTCCCTACGCGACCCTTATTTTTCACCTTTTACCTCATACCTGTGAACTTTTGTCACAGACCTGGGTTTGGAAACCACTGGCGGAGGGACAGCTCAGTTAATGAGCTAAGGAGAGAACTGGGAAAGGCTGACTCACCCACAAGGTGAGCAATGTTCCAGGTTAGACAAACACCAGGAAATACTCAATTCAGAAGAGGACAGTTTAGGACCAACCTCAATATTTTAAGTGGTTAAGACCACAGTGAATTTACTAGACGCTGTGCAGTCAAGCAGAGAGCAGAGTACTGGTCAAGGCACCCAGGCCTCCTCCCTTTCCTCTCACAGAGGTCATCCTTAACAACCAAAATGGAAGACTCAATTTTTAAATTATGTTTATGATTAGTATTTCAATACAATTTTTCTCTAACTATATGGCGGCATTATGGCCAGTGCCATAGAGCACTGAGTGAGATGAACCACGAAGATGTGTCTGTTTGTTTTGAGAGCATGACCCTCTTCAGTGACACTGTGGCCCTGGCAGAGTGTGACATTCTCGGTGTTAGGGTATCACCCAGAGCAGGACTAGACACAGTCCCTGCCCCTGAAGTCCAACTTTCCACATCTATATATACACAGCACTATAGTATTAAAGACACAGGGCCTACCAAAGAGTTAGCTTTGTATTTGATTTTTCTGTCTGTTTTAATTCCCTAATTGAAGGAAAGAAAGGAAGGAAAGAGGGTGGGAGGAGGGAGAAAAAGAGGGAGGGAGGCAGTGAAGGAGGGAGGGAGAGAAGGAGGGAGGGAAATCTGAAAGCAACGGCAGTGGTTCCCAGAAAGAAGGGCAATGGCTGCTGGGAGATTTATGGGAAGTGAGAGCCCTGATCCTGCCCAGCTTGTCCGGGAATTCTTCCTGCTGGAGGGTGATTTGTTAACTGCTGCCTGGTCAGCCTTTCCAGGGAGTCAGTTTTGGACTCTAATCCTCACATTTAGAATCAAAAAGCCAAGCCAACGTTGTTTTCCAGGAATAAGGGTTTTATAGAACAAGGCTGCTTCGTGTATTGTGTGGTAATTGGTAAATATTCCACTTCATATTTAAGAATAGAGTCAAGACAGAGAGAGAGTGGTAATATTACCAGAGCTTTAAAAGCATTAACTTGAAAAACAAGTCCTTTCTCTCCAATATAGACATGGCCCCATGTGAGAGTGGGCATGATGTGGGCAAGCACTGCACCCTCTGAACTCCTGAAGTCAGGACAGCCTTCCACTGGTGATTCAGAGTAAATGTCATGATGCCAATGATTCTGTTCAGTGAGCTACCTTTAAGTTAGGAAACAGTAGTAGCAACAAAAAAATAGCATGGATTGAACTCCTCCCACACCAGCCACTGCCCTCAACAGTGATTTCACAGGTGACACCACATTTAGTCCTCCCAATACCCCAGAAAGTTAGCTATTATAGTTATGTCCATTCTAAAGATGAAACTACATCTCAAAAACTTTAAGTAACGTATTCAAAGTTAATTAGATAACAAAGGTGGTGCTGGGGTTTGAGCCCAAGTGGTCTGACACAGAGCCCCATTCCTTACGATCATTAGTATTTCCTCACATTCTTATAGCTGTTTTTCTTGCTACATGGGAAATGGATAAAACATCTTTTCAGTTATTCTGCATTTTAAGGTCAGATCAATATAAATGTATATCCCAATGTGTAACCTTAGAAAATGCACTTAATTTTTTTTAGAGTTTTTTTTTTATTTGTCAAATGGAGATAACACCAACTTTCAAGATTACTGTGAAAGCGACAGGTCATACGTGGTAACCACTGAGTACATGGAAAGCACGGTGTGAGGCAGACTGCCAAGGTGAGAAAGGGAGAACCTCAGATCAACAGAAGCACAGAGCCTTGGCACTCAGGACAGATTCTCCAGGCCAAGGGGTGGCTGGGAGTAGATCATCTTCAGAAAAACTGAAGGAAGTACTTTCCCTTTAGGCAACTCAGTCAAAGAAAGGAAACCTTAAGTACGCTTACAAAATAAGAAGAGATTTCAGCTAATAATGTAAAAAATAAAAATCACAACAAACAAAAACAAGAAATCAGTAGAGCCTGTATAAAGAAAAGAAAGCAAAACCCAGACTATTAATCCCCATTATAAAGGAGGAGTGGAAGCTTACAGCAGAGCCTGCCTGTCATATGTAATGCAATATCCATAAAGGTAGTTTAAACCCCACGTGGAGGAGACAGTCCTCATCCTATGTTGTGAAGGAGTCATTTCTGTGGCCCTCTTGTGGTCTCAATGAAGCTCTAGGTTAAAGAATCACTCTAGCAGAACCCTGGACGGAGTGGACACCCACAGGCTATTGCCGTCAATAATCTGGAGTGCAGAGTGGGAAACAAGAAGATAACAGACCTTAGGGGTGAGCACAGTGTCCACGTCTCCAGCCTTCTTATGTTCTGCTGTCTTTAAGGAATGTAGTTTCCCGGTCCAGTCGAGTTTCACAGCCCTTCCTCAGTGGAAACACCGAATATCTATGACGAAAAGTGGGGGAAATTAGGATGGGAGAGTGAGTGTAAAGGATGGCACACATAGCAAAAGCACAATGTAAACAGCCTGAGGGGGCACCTGCTGTAATATGAGCAGAAATCTCCATGAGCATTTTGCTACCATCAGTCAGTAGGATTCTCCCATTCTGTAGGTACCTATCTTCACAGTGCACTGTATGAAAAGGGATAATTCATGAAAATAAGACCTATTCTTTGCTAGTTTGCTTTGTGTGCATAAAGCGTGCAGGCGAGAGGTTAAATTTAAAACATTCAACCAATTAAACTTGTAGTTGTGAGATTTACTTAATTGCAGTCTACTCAAACAAAATTAAAATTCATATAATATTTTTGGAAGGAAAATTACTGCACTCCCAGCCATTTTGGAGAGACCCTTCAAAAATTTATTCCTCAAATGTTACTATATCTTTCAGAAATTGGCATTGAAGACTGCTATTAGAGTGAAAAAAACAAAAACATGACTGACTGTGTTCCTCATTCTATACTGGGTCATGGCATTTTAATCTGCTATTATGACTTTAATACCCAAAGACATTCAATGAATACTTGATAAATAATTGGAAGAATTTTCTAAGATGTTTAAAATGACATTTCATGATAATTACGACCAAGGGTTTAAGACCAACCAAACAGACCTGACTAATTCACTATCTGTGTCTTTGAGCAAGTTTTTAAACCTCCCTATGCCTCATATTTTTCATTTTTAAAATGTTAATATACGTATATTTACCTCTTCCATTGGTTGGTCATTTAGATTAATGAGATAATCCATATGAAACTTTTGCGCCAGAACCATGCTCAGAATTAGTGCCAAAAAATGTTAATTACTAGCACGTTATGCCTCATCTTAGACAAATTACGTACACAATTCTTTAATCTGCCTCTTTGGTCATACAAGTCATATATTAAGACTTTTTTGGTAGTATCAAGCATTTTGTCACTGCAAAGTGACACATTTTTTTTGGTGGAAACTTGTAAGACTTGTCAACAAACAGACGAATAAAAGTATTTCAGAATTTGACTTGTTCATGGCTTCATGGTAGATTATGGGTAGCTGGAGAGGAAGTGGATTCAACAGCAGAGGGCAGAGTATAGAGACTTGGAGGATGAGAAGAATTCACTCCTAAGAAAAAAAAGAAAAGCCCCATTTTCTAATGCTGAGCCTCAGACCATTTCTGACGGGCACCGTTGAAAAGGTACACATTTCAGAGCCAGGTCATTCAGTACATGGGAAGATAAGGATACCCCTCTACCCTCTACTATATATATTTCACTATACACAGAATAGAGCAGATCAAGGTAGGGCTGTGGGGGGCAGTGTGGTATAGTGGACAGAACATGAGCTTTTATAAGAGGATGGATCTAAATTTTGTTTTCTAGCTCAGTTGTTTGCCACCTAGGCTAAGTACGCTACTTAACAATTTGTGCCTCTCTTGCTTCATCTCTGTAATGGTAATAAAAATTGTAATTATGTCATAGGGTTGCTGTGGGGATATAATGAAACAACATCCATTTTCTGGTTTAGAAAACATAGTTGGAAAATACTTCTTGCACACTCTGCAGGTGAGGAAAGTATAAAAATGCTTGCAGAAGCATTGTTTCTTGCATCTGCTTGCTCACTTCCTCCATACACATTCCTGGTAATTGTGGGAGAGTCCATTTAGCTAAGCCGGAACTACATTTCCCAGAATCCACCTTTTCTTCATGTGATCAGTTCAAGCCCAGACATGGGAGGCAGACATGAAGCCCCAGCTCCTGCTGCTGAGCAGGTTGGTTCTGGGAAAGGCACTGTTGAAGCTCCTGCCTGTTGGCACTGACCCTCTGGCTTCCTGGCTTCCTGGTAGCAACAGCCAGACCCTCAGCTCCCCCAGATCCTACTGCACCTCCCGCTCTGGGTTCTCCAACTCCTGGCCCAGGTGTGTGTTTAGCTCCATGACAGAGGGGCACCAGCTTCTTGTAAAGAAAACACTCATCATCAAAGTTGGAAACCCATCATCAAAGGCGATAAGAAACCCATCAAGGTTCTGGTTTGTTTTCTTTCCCTCTGCTCCACAACCACCTTCTCTTCCCAGCCATCTACCTGTGCACATCAGGTTCCAGCTCTAGACTCAGAAATGAAACATCACAAACTGTTTCTCCTACTTCCATGATAGTACGAGGTCAAGTCCTTGTGATAAGTTCATATATCAGAGTAGAACCATATATACATTCTGGTGGTTCTACTCTGATAAGAGCCTTAACTGATAGAATGGGATCTCTATATGCCAGGAACTATGTTCTGGGCTGAAGAAACAGATGAATAAGGTATAGTCCCTACATTCACAAAAAATCACAGTTCTACAGTTCTTAAAAGAGGAGTCAGCCATCACTCATCATAAAAGAAATTATAAAGTTTCTATGGATTTACCTAATCTAGACACTTCATATAAATGGAATCATAATATGTGACCTATTGTATCTTTTTTTCCACTTTGCATGTTTTCTAGGTTTATCCACGATGTAGGACATATCAGTACTTCACTCTTTTCTATGCTAAATACTATTTAAATTGTATTGATATATCACATTTTGTTTATTCATTCATCTGTTGTTTCTTAAAAATATTTTTATTGATTTCAGAGAGGAAGGGAGAGAGAGAGAGAGATAGAGAGAGAGAGATCATTGATGAGAATCATTGATTGGCTGCCTCCTGCACACTCCCTTCTGAGGATCAAGCCCACAACCTGGGCATGTGCCCTTGACCGGAATCCAACCTGGGACCCTTCAGTCCACAGGTTGACGCTCTATCCACTAAGCCAAATCAGCTAGGGCTATTCATTCATCTGTCGATGGACATTTGAGTTGTTTTCACTTTTTGAAACTACATAGTTACAACTAGATAGTGATGACTGCACATTGTGAACATACTAAATGACAATTATTTAAAATAGTTAATTTTATAATATATGAATTTCACTTCAGTAATTTTTTTTTAAAGTTTATAAAGTTCTTTTCTTTAGTTAAAAAAAAATTAACATTGCCTATCATTGTTGAGAATGGAACTGAAGAGACTCCACTGGAGTTTATGGGTACCAAACTGGTAAAAAAAAAAAAAGTGTACTCATTAAACTAGATATTTTCAGTGATAAGATCGGATGCTTTCTACATTTGACTACAGTCTGCTTCGTATTTTATTCTTTGCTATTTTTCTACAAGCCTGCCATTGATTGGCTTCTCGACATGCACATAAAATCAATTAACAGTCAGCTCTGAGAATAATTCTCTTAATAGGTTACTGCTTTCCCCTGTTAGCCAACAGAGAAACATTTCTTTCCACACTGGCCCATACTTATTTGGAAAGGCATTTGGTAACACTTATGAGCCTGCACATGCCAGTAATTAGATATCAATAGAATTTCTATGTTCAATACTTTGTATACAAGGAATATATAGCCAAAATTTCCAGTCTTCTCACAATTTTCTGAACTGAGTAATTTTTATCTTTTTATTATGGGTTTACTTTAGAGACATCGGATAAAATCCCACCACGTCTGCCTCCAAACTTCCCCTAATGTGTGGACAATATGAATATATGTCGAGGTTGAGGATATGCCAGGCCAGTTCTCTGTTCCTCGTATTTTAGTAGTCACAATGAAGAACCATTAGTTACTTAACTCTTCATTTAAGTGTAACTTTTTCTCCAACTGCTAATTTAGTTTTTTTGTTGTTTTACTTCTTTCTGACTTCACAGATCTAATCTGAACATCATTGCCTTATAGAAATTCCTGACCCCATCTTCTTCCACAGCCCTTCTCCTGCACTAAATTCCAGCCACACTGGCTTCCCTTTAGCTTCTGGGACAGATAAAACTCATGTCCATTTCAGGACCTTTACACTCATTGCTCCTTCTGCTTGAATATTCATTCTTTTTCACCAATGTTATGTGGCTGCCCTTTCTTCATCATCTGAGTTTCAAATCATCCTGTGCCTTTTCACAATGGGCTTCCCTAGCTTTAGCATTACCCTGTTTATTGTTTATTTTCTGTATCCCCTCCCTAGATCATATATGATCCATAACATAGGGCAGTGATGGCGAACCTATGACATGGGTGTCAGAGGTGACACACGAACTCATTTTTTGGGTTGATTTATTTTTGTTAAATGGAATTTAAATATATAAAGTAAATATCAAAAATATAAGTCTTTGTTTTACTATGGTTGCAAATACCAAAAAAAATTTCTATATGTGACATGGCATAGAGTTAAGTTAGGGTTTTCAAAATGCTGACACGCCAAGCTCAAAAGGTTCACCATCACTGACATAGGGACTCTGCCTGTGAAGGTCAGAGCTGTTTCCCCAGAGTTTAGAATAATGCTGGAGGAGACAGTAGATGCACCATTAATTTCTTGGTTGACTGACTAAGAAACTAGAAAGCACTAATCATGTGATTCATGGTGATACCATTCCTTGTAACAGTGGATGCTGGAAAGTATCAGGTAAGTAACTATGCACATATGTAAGTATGTATGTAGTATTTTGCTTAGAATTTTTGGGGGAGGGAGAGAGGAGCAAGTTATAAGTTCAGTTTCAATATATTGATTTTGAAGTGATATCAGATAGATAATTTTATATATTTGATTAGACTTAAGAATCAAGTGGCCTACAGATCAATTCAGAAGACATCTGCTTCTCAGTGGTTATTAAAGGTAGACATAGATAAGATCATCCAGGAATATCAAGAAGAATAAGAAAAGAGGAATGAAAGTCAGAATGGATAACACTGGAAGGGGCCAGAACAGAGCAGTCAGTGCGGGAGGAAGGTAACATGCAAGTGTGGCCCCTGTAGAAGGACGTTGCTATGGGGTGAATGTTAGTGTCTTCCATGTGCTGAAGTCCCACTCCCCAATGTGATGGCATTTGGAGGTGGGGGAATAACTAGGTAATTACCTCCTTTGGGAGTAATTAGGTTTAAATGGGGTCATG